CCCAACCCCAAACCCAAACCCAAACCCAAACCCAAACCCAAACCCTTACAAACATTAGTCAAAAATTGTTAATTTCATTCAAAAACATTCAGAAAAACACCCAGGTGCTTTTAGGTCCTGGCCTTTACTTTTATTTTTCAATAAAAACATAAGGAAAAAATAGTCCCACTTAAGAAAAAAAAGCTTACGCACAATTATGACACAAAGTGTAGAGCCCCAACCGTACTTAGAATATAATTATTTTTATAATTACATGTAGGCTTTACCAACCCCAAACCCAAACCCAAAAATAATTACCTTAATTTAAATTGCTGCCATATCACTTGGATCAAATCGTACATTAGAAATAATCATACCAAGGCATTGTAGATGGCGAAGAAAATTTATGATGCTTTTTTAGAACAATTTAGTTTGTTAGACACTGCTTTGAGTTTACGAACCTTCAATAAATTCTCAAAAAACATTTTAATTGTTCCTATCGTGTTATTTCTTAATTTTACAGCCGTAATTTGATTTAATTAATAAAAGTGCTAAAAGTCAATATTAGGAAGAAGAATTTGTTTTGGTATTGGGTAATGGCCCCGATTCAGACTATAAAAAAATATTCAAAAAATTAATTAAAATAAAACGAATATACTTTTAGGAAAAAAAAACTTATAATTATATCCAATGTATTTAAAATATAAACTTACATCATTATTTAAAATTAATTAAATTATAGTTTATATACGGTTCAAAATATAAAATTACATTATTATTAACAAAATAAATTCTAATAAAATTAATTAGTTGTAAATAATTATTTAATAATACTCTTTAGAATACCTTTATTATTACAATTGTCTCCTAAATTATTGCATCATTAGTTAGAAATTAACCAAATTTAAAGATATATAAACAGAACTGAGTTTGCTGATAATCATTTTCAACCTCTCTTTTAATAAAAATGGACAAGAAATCTCAGAACAATCATAGAAAAAAAAGAATAAAGTTTAATCAAGTTTTAAAGACTGAGTTAATTTTTTAAACATATAAAAGTATTAGATATTACAATTTGTTTTTTTGATTTCAATAAAATTTCTAAAAAATGGCTCATTTTCCAAACATTACATCGTTAGATTTCTTAAATTTTTTTTTAATGGATAATATAAAAATCTTGGTCTTCTAAAAGATTATGGTAGGTATAAAATCTTGGTATTTTAAAAAAGTATGGTAGTTAAAATATCCTGTTTAGAAAATTCAACATTATGTGACTGCTGAAAGTTACATACTAGTGGGCTAAATATTCCTAAAGAAATAGAGTTCATTGTTGAAACACCATTAATATAGTTTAAAAAAAATACATATAATTAAATTGGTAAGTGGGTTACAGGATGTTATTTTTAAATGTTAATGATTTAAGTATTTATAGTAAATAGTTTGAATTGAATTAAATTATAATAATAAATTTATTAATTATTAATATTTTTATATCCTTAATCATTCATTATCTTTAGAGCTAATTTTATATTAAATTCTATATCTTATTTTTTAATGGTTAATGGAGTAATGAACTTATTATCAATGATATTATTATATTTAATAAAAAAAGATAAATTTATATAACAATTGTTTAAAATACAAGAAAAAATTATAAGATTATTTATTTACAGAAATATGCAAATAACAGTTAATCTATTTCTACTTTATATAATTAATATTGAATCATTTTGAATGATCAAACAAATATAAAAAATATGAAATTCAAATTAATTACTTATTATCGAATTAACATATATATTCAAAATCAATATTATGAGAAAACTCTTTAGATTATCTTGTAGTCCCTTTTTTCAATATTGTCAGAAATAAACAAAACATTAGTCCAATTATGAAAATAGGGATGTTAAATAGTAAATATATTATAATAATAATAGTCATGCTGCCAATTTTTTTTTCTATTCTTTTTAAAACAGCTTCTGTTTTTTAATAGAGAGTGCAAAAGCTAAAATAGGAAATATAGAAAGCAGAATTATAATTTAGAGAAAATTTAGAAGNTACTCTTTAGAATACCTTTATTATTACAATTGTCTCCTAAATTATTGCATCATTAGTTAGAAATTAACCAAATTTAAAGATATATAAACAGAACTGAGTTTGCTGATAATCATTTTCAACCTCTCTTTTAATAAAAATGGACAAGAAATCTCAGAACAATCATAGAAAAAAAAGAATAAAGTTTAATCAAGTTTTAAAGACTGAGTTAATTTTTTAAACATATAAAAGTATTAGATATTACAATTTGTTTTTTTGATTTCAATAAAATTTCTAAAAAATGGCTCATTTTCCAAACATTACATCGTTAGATTTCTTAAATTTTTTTTTAATGGATAATATAAAAATCTTGGTCTTCTAAAAGATTATGGTAGGTATAAAATCTTGGTATTTTAAAAAAGTATGGTAGTTAAAATATCCTGTTTAGAAAATTCAACATTATGTGACTGCTGAAAGTTACATACTAGTGGGCTAAATATTCCTAAAGAAATAGAGTTCATTGTTGAAACACCATTAATATAGTTTAAAAAAAATACATATAATTAAATTGGTAAGTGGGTTACAGGATGTTATTTTTAAATGTTAATGATTTAAGTATTTATAGTAAATAGTTTGAATTGAATTAAATTATAATAATAAATTTATTAATTATTAATATTTTTATATCCTTAATCATTCATTATCTTTAGAGCTAATTTTATATTAAATTCTATATCTTATTTTTTAATGGTTAATGGAGTAATGAACTTATTATCAATGATATTATTATATTTAATAAAAAAAGATAAATTTATATAACAATTGTTTAAAATACAAGAAAAAATTATAAGATTATTTATTTACAGAAATATGCAAATAACAGTTAATCTATTTCTACTTTATATAATTAATATTGAATCATTTTGAATGATCAAACAAATATAAAAAATATGAAATTCAAATTAATTACTTATTATCGAATTAACATATATATTCAAAATCAATATTATGAGAAAACTCTTTAGATTATCTTGTAGTCCCTTTTTTCAATATTGTCAGAAATAAACAAAACATTAGTCCAATTATGAAAATAGGGATGTTAAATAGTAAATATATTATAATAATAATAGTCATGCTGCCAATTTTTTTTTCTATTCTTTTTAAAACAGCTTCTGTTTTTTAATAGAGAGTGCAAAAGCTAAAATAGGAAATATAGAAAGCAGAATTATAATTTAGAGAAAATTTAGAAGTGTTTACAACAAAGTAATTATAAGTTCGATCATCCATTAGCAATTTGTACATCAAAAGGTTTAAGCCTTTTTTGAAGTAAACAATTCCAAAAATATTAAACATTTTGGACAAAAGTTTTGATGAAACATTATGTAGCTATTTTAATTGTAGAAATCTATTCTTATAAGAGTATCAAATTAGTTTAGAGTATCTAAACTGTCAATCTAGTCTAATTAACATTGTAAAATACTTGTAGTGGTTTAATTCGAAATGGATAACAAAGTTAGAGAATTTGTATTTGATTTAGCTATAAAATGATATTATTGTTTTATAAATCTTTAAATTTTGTATTATAATCTGAATATTAAATAGAAGATTACTTTTAATTAATATAAATTGTTATTATAAATATTTATTAAATTATCTATGGTATGTCTATTTCATATTTGAGTGCATAAAAGTTGTGAATATTAAAATAAGAGGTTTAGTTTATTATATTATTATATCCATCTAATAATTAATAATTTATTTAAGTTTGAAAAAAATTAATATATACTGGTTCATCAAAATGCCAATCATAAAAAAAGGAATAATACTTATTAAAAATTAAGATATTTTTATAAACTTGTATTTGATTTATAATCTAAAAATTAATATGAAAATTTTGGAAATAATGTTATTAATACCTTTTTCGCTGATTCTCATTAATTTTCAAATTTCTTATTTCAACTATTGGTTTATGTTTATTTTAACCATATAAATAGAATTGGATCAAATTAATTTTAGAACAATCTGTTTAAAAGGTTGTTCTTATTTAGTATCATTTAATATTATTATTTAATTAATAACAATATTATAAGAATTAACTAAAGAGTTATATTTTTGAAGAATCATTTATTATAAATTTAATTTATTTTAATATTCTAATCATTAATTTGCAAGGTACTCTATAAAACTATTCGTACAAGCATTTTTTTTTTTTGATTATCTACTATTTTCTACATATTTTGAAAATTCCTAATATTATGTATATTATTCTTCAAGAACCTGTATAATATACTCAAATGATTCTTATATAATTTCTTTATGTAGCGAAATAAATTCAAACAGATCATACATTCCAACTACAAAGTCATCAAAAGTCTTTGTTAAATAGTTAAAAGCATTTTCAACACTAATATTATTCTCCTTCAGCTAATTTTGAACGGAGGTAGCAATTTAACTTGAGTATTCCAAAACACTATTACTAAATTAAGTAATTGATTCAGGAAGCTACAAATAATCAGAAGAAAATTATTAAATTTATTTTTAAAATTTTAAGACTTCCTTAGGCATGCTCGGTAGTTAATTAGAGACTTCTGAAATAGTTTTTGAAATTGTAGAATATGTATTAGATATCCCTGATTTTATAATATTAACAGATGAGCTCCAAAATGATTATTCTTCTTATTATATTGTCTTTGCCTACTTTTTTTAATCCCTTTAACGATTTGGAATTTATTCCACATTTTATTTTTACTCTTAAATACAAAATTCAGATCTAAAACAATTGAATACTAAATAGATAATGGCAACTATAGTTCCAATAGTAAGACTAGGTAAAAATAATAAAAATGTTTTTCCCATTGCAACAGCCTATAACCATGAAAAAAAAGATCCAGCTACTACATTTCCAATTAAGGATTGAATCCAAGCTGCTAGTGAACCTGCAATTGGACCTGCTGCTGTGAAACCAGCCAGCCATATACTTAATTTTATGATTATAAATGAGCTAAATGAAGAAATAGATTGGTAAGCTATTGCAGTATTTATTTGTAGTTTTATGCAATTAAAGATTTTATCCTTGTCATATTTTTAGCATTTAATTTATTTAGTTGAATCTTCCTTTGCTTAAATACTTCCAAGAGTTAAAAAGATGAAAAATATTGCAATTATTTTTCTATTCATAAATAATTAATATTTTTTATATGTTAGATTTATTAAATAATATTGTATTAAAAATATGATATGAAAACACAACAATTAATTTCAATAATTTATACAAAATTGATTTAAGCGATTGATTAAGAATTTATGTTATTATAAAATATTTTAATAAAAAAATATCAAAATTAGTATAATATTTTAAAGAAAGGAATCCTTTCTATTAATAAATAATACTTTTGATTGATTGTCAAATAAAATAATAAATTAATATTGGATTAATTACTTTTTATCAATTAATCTAATAAATAAAAAAATATAGGTTTGAATATCTAATCAAAAATTCTTTGGAAGTGTTTTACATGAATCACATAATTTATTTTCAATGAATTCAATCAGTTTTTATTTTCTCTTTTTAATCATTGTTATCAATATCTTGAGTGTGATCTGATATTTAATTCTTTTTCTTAAATAGATTATAATTAAATAAATACTTCTAATTTTTAAAGTTCTTCTTTGAGTTAATTATTGACTTATTATTATTAATAATTTAAGGATAAAGATACTTTAAGTTTATTTTGTAAATCCTCTTTTTACGTTTCACTTTATGTTATATGAATTGGTTAATCTTCAATCTTTTTATTTACTTTTGGTTGAGCATAATGAATACTTTGATGTAATAATGATTATTAATCTAAAAATGAATATGACATAGATTTTGATGGATTTATTATTTAATTTTAAGGGATATGATTTGTGCTATTGATTATTTCTTTAGAAAATGCTGCTGAAATGATATTAGATTATGAATTCAATTAGCAAGATGAGCCAAAAGATTTTACAGATTGAATAAGAGAGATTTATTTTATCCACAATTTGCTTTAGATAATAATCTAAATTCTTACTTTATATATTCGTTATCTCATAGCATTTAATTCAAAATCTAAAATCTATTGTTATTATTCTTCGTCTAAGTTTTCACCATTTTACAAAGAAAATTAATCTAGGGATATTCTTAGTTGAGGATTTAATTCATTAAGATAATGACCAATTACTTCATTTAATTTTAAACCTAATTGATCTAATGTAGTATTACTATTCATTTTATTAAAAATCTATCAGTGGACTTTCATTTATTTCTTAATTTGTTTGTTATTTTGTTTCCAAATGATTATTACCAGATCCCAAATAATAATCTTTAAGTCCTAAGATATTTAAATCATTCAAACAGATAGAACCTTATCGATCTTCTTTATCTTTTTATGATTTAATTTTTATATTTTTCTAAATTAGATGAAACAAATACAATCTCATTTTATTGTGATGTCTCTTTTGAATTATTACTTTAATTTTGTAATTTTGTTGGTGAATATGATAGTGAAAGGCCACATATGTCTAAATCAATAGCTGGAGATGCTCATTTCCTGTTTTCAACTTTTTATAATGGAAATTATGTAAAATATATANAATTACTTTTTATCAATTAATCTAATAAATAAAAAAATATAGGTTTGAATATCTAATCAAAAATTCTTTGGAAGTGTTTTACATGAATCACATAATTTATTTTCAATGAATTCAATCAGTTTTTATTTTCTCTTTTTAATCATTGTTATCAATATCTTGAGTGTGATCTGATATTTAATTCTTTTTCTTAAATAGATTATAATTAAATAAATACTTCTAATTTTTAAAGTTCTTCTTTGAGTTAATTATTGACTTATTATTATTAATAATTTAAGGATAAAGATACTTTAAGTTTATTTTGTAAATCCTCTTTTTACGTTTCACTTTATGTTATATGAATTGGTTAATCTTCAATCTTTTTATTTACTTTTGGTTGAGCATAATGAATACTTTGATGTAATAATGATTATTAATCTAAAAATGAATATGACATAGATTTTGATGGATTTATTATTTAATTTTAAGGGATATGATTTGTGCTATTGATTATTTCTTTAGAAAATGCTGCTGAAATGATATTAGATTATGAATTCAATTAGCAAGATGAGCCAAAAGATTTTACAGATTGAATAAGAGAGATTTATTTTATCCACAATTTGCTTTAGATAATAATCTAAATTCTTACTTTATATATTCGTTATCTCATAGCATTTAATTCAAAATCTAAAATCTATTGTTATTATTCTTCGTCTAAGTTTTCACCATTTTACAAAGAAAATTAATCTAGGGATATTCTTAGTTGAGGATTTAATTCATTAAGATAATGACCAATTACTTCATTTAATTTTAAACCTAATTGATCTAATGTAGTATTACTATTCATTTTATTAAAAATCTATCAGTGGACTTTCATTTATTTCTTAATTTGTTTGTTATTTTGTTTCCAAATGATTATTACCAGATCCCAAATAATAATCTTTAAGTCCTAAGATATTTAAATCATTCAAACAGATAGAACCTTATCGATCTTCTTTATCTTTTTATGATTTAATTTTTATATTTTTCTAAATTAGATGAAACAAATACAATCTCATTTTATTGTGATGTCTCTTTTGAATTATTACTTTAATTTTGTAATTTTGTTGGTGAATATGATAGTGAAAGGCCACATATGTCTAAATCAATAGCTGGAGATGCTCATTTCCTGTTTTCAACTTTTTATAATGGAAATTATGTAAAATATATAACAGCTTTTTATATCTTCTGACGAATACAATCAAACAAAGAGTTTCAAAAGTAATTTGATATTATTCATTATTAATTTAATATGATTAATAAAATAATTGACAAATATAACATTAATGAACCTCGATACACTAGAAGTTTAACTAAATCATTTCCATAATCTAAAAGAAATAGAGAGACAGAGCTTATTTATTTAAACAAAGTGAATGCATTTAGTTTATTAAAAAATTATTAAATTGATTACTTATATAGATCAATTAAAAGTGTAGAATTTACAAGAGGACATTTAATCTTTTAGGAAGGATAAAAATATGATGCAATTTATGTAATCAAATAAGGGGAAATAGAAATATTTAAAAAAGAACCAATCAATCATTAAATTTAATAACATGATCAATTAAATAAAAAAAATATGTTCATCAAATGATTAAAGTTCTAGGTGAATAAACTGCTTTTGAAGTAGGAGATACTCTAACTGAAATATATTCTATCAATGCTAGGGTTTGCTCACATTTTGCAGAATTATAAGTAATTAAAGTGTAAGATTATAAGCGTATCCTTGATATGGAACCATAAATAAAATTATAATAATAGGAATCTGATAATATGGATGATTTTGAAGTGATAACGAAATATTAATTGCCATCTCTATATGATTCAGTTAAGAATTTATAGACTTAAAAATAAGATATTTAATATCTAAAAAAAATAAGGAATGGCATCACATACCTTTTACCATAATCCTAAAGAATATATATAATGAAGAATTTTTATATTGATTAAAGTCTAGAAGAAATCTATAAGTATTGTAATAAATCTATTCAAGAAAGTCGGTAATTTTGCATGAGAAAATGCTCCCATATTATTAATAAGTAGATTTACATAATCCTCTAATAAAAGGATAGGAAGTAATAAATGATAGATTATTGTTGAATAAGGTACTTTAGAAAGAATATACAATTAAGATTCCAAAATAATAATCGAAAAAGATTAAATTAATGAATTAGAGTTTTATATCATCAGCAAATAGTCCTATGAGCAGGAAACTGTAATTAGTATTTTAGAAAGATAAAAAATTGAAATAAAATTTATCAATTAATGATGTTACGCATCGAGAAAAAAAAGATTAAGATTATATAAGATATGTCCCCTAATTTTTTTTCATTTGAATCTGCCAGATTTGATACGGGTAGATCTACATTTCATGCAACTCCTTTATTTGATTAATTAGATCCAATAAGACTAAGATAATTTATACCAACAGAGATATTTCCAATTTATTGTCATTTAATTAAACCAAACAATCAAGAGATAAATTGAAACTTATAAAATTTGAATAATCAATTTATATTTATCTATAAATATTTATAATTTTATTTAAAAATTTTAGAATTTACTATTTTATTTTTAATAAGATAAATATATATGGAATAATTTAATTTTCTAATATTCTAAATAAGTTAAAATAATTTTAACAATTTAATTTTTTATTTTATTAATATTTATCATTTATACATTTCTAAAACTAATTTAATTTTTCTTACAAAATCTTCTTTATTTGAAATTTATAATTCTCCTTGAAGATTCTTAAATGCTAAACTAATTTGATCAATTATTGGATTTGAGATAATACCAATTTAATTTGTTGTTATTCTTACAATTAATGTCTCAAACTAAAATATTATATAATGTTAATTACATCAGATGGATTAAATATAGAGATTGCATATAAAATTTCAGGTATTGCAAATATCAATTTTGAATTTTTTGGGTATATTAATGTTATTTAACAACTCAGATTAAAAAGTTCATATAATAACTATTTTCCTTTGATATTAATTCCATTTATTTTGCTTTTAATCACGTACAAATCATTTATATCTCCCACAGATGCTTCTTAAACTAAAAATGTTGATATATTGCTCAATAATGTTCCAATTAACATTAATATTGCCCAATTTTCATTTATAGTATCCTCTCCTTAATTATCATAAATTATATCTTTTAATGATTCTTTACAAATAAAAATATATCAAGATAAGAATTCAAATCACATTTATAAGCCAGAGTTTCTGATAGGTCTTAACATACAATCAAAACATTCATATAATAATTTTTTGTATTTTGGTATATGTAATAGTAATGGTCTATAAGTTAAATTGAGTTAAATTTATAAATTAAAAAGTTCTAAAAAACACTAATCATTATAAATAATGAAAAATCCTTAATTATTTTTTTCTTTTATCCAGATATTTATCTCATTAGGGATAAAAGTTTAGATACTTGCTTCGATTATAAATCTGATATTTTTTATTGTGTTTTAGCAATTTAAAGTTACTATTAAATTAAAATTATAAAGAATTTCATGGCTTTACCATAAATTTGATATAAGATAAATTAAATATTTTCTGTTGATAATCTAGTGTTTCTAATGTAATTGATGATAACTAGTACTTATTGTAGAATATGGCTTTAAATAATGTGATGATGGCAATCGAAGAATCATAGTCTTTAGCAAATAACTCAATGTTTTCTTAAGACAATAATTTAGCTAGATCAGGATATCTAATAAATTTATATTACCATTTACATTATTCTTAAAAATGTTCTATAAATATTATCAACATCTATTTCTGAAGCAATACCAATCAGATCCCAAACATATTTTAAAATATTTACTTCATTAATCTCAATTAATATGCTTGATTTTATTTAATTATAGATATCAACGAGTGCATTTACATAATCATTACAATAGTAATTATTTTAAAAACTAAAGCTCTTTTCTTTATATATTAAGGTGTATTTAAACAGGTTATATTTAATTATAAGAAAAACTATTTCAACAAATCTGTAATACTGCAAACTTTGAATACTTTTCTAGGAATATATTTTTGACTTACTAAATTCTATTAAGAATGGATCACCATATGTAAAGACTTAAAAACTATAAATATATTTATATAATGTATATACCACTCTTCAAGCATAGTTTCTAAAACCAATAAGTAATTTTAATATCTTTAATCTGCACGTATTAATTAAGAATATAATTAAGATAAGTTTTTAAATTATTTTGTTTCTTATTCATAGCAAAATGAATCAATTGTTGTAGTAATAAAACTTTCAATAAATGATAGAATGGCCATTTTTAATATTCTTGTATTTTTTTATACTTATTAATTCATTATAAGTTCCACTATAAATTTTAAGATATATGCTTATCCATCAAGATTAGGTTTTAGTCTTCTTTTTATCCAAAATTATAACAATCAAATCCTAAATTTAAGATCTCAGTATTTGAAGTATGTAATAAAAATACAATAGTTAAACTAATGACAGCTGCACTTTAATCTAATATATTATTAATTTTATTATTATACATTCATTATCTCCTCTTAATTATTCAATCATTTATAAAATAATACCAATATTTTCTTAGATATTTAATTTAAATAAACAATGAAATGGGATAAATGTTAAATCCAATAATTTTTTAAATTTTTTCACACTACATTCTTATGGAATGTCTGTGGATTAATTTTATTAAAAAATTGTTTTCAAAACAATAATCAATTGATTTTGCATGGCCTTTTTTATTAATACATTTTAAGAATCATGCTAAAGCAAATGTAATGAACCCTAATACCCAATTTAATTCCAAAGTTCTTGTAATTTTACTATTGGACTATTTGATATTATTTTTACTCCAAATAATTATACTGTTTTTTAATAGATTTAAGAAATCAATTAAAAAATTTATCTAATAAATATTGAAATTTTACTACTTCTCTCAATGTTAAATTATTAATAATTCTTATTGCTAAAGAATGTATTTCAGATAAAAATTCTACATAATTTATAAATTAATCTTAATTTTAATATAAATATAGTAACCCTTCCCACATTATTCTTCTAAATCCTCCTTTACATTTCTTATTGTGAAATATTGATAATCTTACACAAGCAATCCTTTAAAGCATACATATACAATATAAAGATAAATTTTAATCAATATTTATAAATCCAATAGAATCTTGAAAGAGTTCTTTTAAAAATATTGGATCTATTATTAAATCTAAATAATAATCTGGAAACTGAAAATTATATATTAATTATATACATTAGTTAATTATGATAAATCCTTTGCATCATTATCACATCAATTTCATAATAACTTAAATTAAAATTCAAGTTCATTAATTAATATAATAAATTAATAAAAGATTCAACCATTATTTTATTTTATCCATATAATTTAATTAATGGTTCTCCTTATAATTATTAAATTTATAAATGTATTGCTTATAATATTCTCTATAAAGATAGTCTAAAAGATTATTATAATAGAATTACGTTTCAAATATTATAAAAAATACTATTTTATTTTTTTATAAAGTTCTATTTGTAATTTAACTTATAATATCTTCAATTTTTAAAATATCAATCCAATTTTTTCTTATTAATAGTGCAATTGTAAAAATTACTTAATTGTAAACGTAATTTGGTTGATTATGTGATTATTGTAAATAAATGAATGCAATCTCAATATGTTTAGTACAAATTTCTGTAATATTTAATCGATGGTCATATTGATTATAAAATATTCAGTGCTCACATTTTGATGTGGAAAATTCGTAAAATGATCTCCATTTATCAGGCATTTTTATATAATTGAATAAAGAACAAACGTTGTCTCAGGATTACCATCTTCTAATATTAAACTTTAAAACAATTCAATATTTGAATAATCTAGAACGAAGTTTCTAAGTAATTCTAAAACTTGTTAATTTTTCTATTCTATCAAGGTCATTATTGTTTACATTAAAATCTCCTATGCTCATAGCAACTTTTGAATTTTGATGTANCATGGCCTTTTTTATTAATACATTTTAAGAATCATGCTAAAGCAAATGTAATGAACCCTAATACCCAATTTAATTCCAAAGTTCTTGTAATTTTACTATTGGACTATTTGATATTATTTTTACTCCAAATAATTATACTGTTTTTTAATAGATTTAAGAAATCAATTAAAAAATTTATCTAATAAATATTGAAATTTTACTACTTCTCTCAATGTTAAATTATTAATAATTCTTATTGCTAAAGAATGTATTTCAGATAAAAATTCTACATAATTTATAAATTAATCTTAATTTTAATATAAATATAGTAACCCTTCCCACATTATTCTTCTAAATCCTCCTTTACATTTCTTATTGTGAAATATTGATAATCTTACACAAGCAATCCTTTAAAGCATACATATACAATATAAAGATAAATTTTAATCAATATTTATAAATCCAATAGAATCTTGAAAGAGTTCTTTTAAAAATATTGGATCTATTATTAAATCTAAATAATAATCTGGAAACTGAAAATTATATATTAATTATATACATTAGTTAATTATGATAAATCCTTTGCATCATTATCACATCAATTTCATAATAACTTAAATTAAAATTCAAGTTCATTAATTAATATAATAAATTAATAAAAGATTCAACCATTATTTTATTTTATCCATATAATTTAATTAATGGTTCTCCTTATAATTATTAAATTTATAAATGTATTGCTTATAATATTCTCTATAAAGATAGTCTAAAAGATTATTATAATAGAATTACGTTTCAAATATTATAAAAAATACTATTTTATTTTTTTATAAAGTTCTATTTGTAATTTAACTTATAATATCTTCAATTTTTAAAATATCAATCCAATTTTTTCTTATTAATAGTGCAATTGTAAAAATTACTTAATTGTAAACGTAATTTGGTTGATTATGTGATTATTGTAAATAAATGAATGCAATCTCAATATGTTTAGTACAAATTTCTGTAATATTTAATCGATGGTCATATTGATTATAAAATATTCAGTGCTCACATTTTGATGTGGAAAATTCGTAAAATGATCTCCATTTATCAGGCATTTTTATATAATTGAATAAAGAACAAACGTTGTCTCAGGATTACCATCTTCTAATATTAAACTTTAAAACAATTCAATATTTGAATAATCTAGAACGAAGTTTCTAAGTAATTCTAAAACTTGTTAATTTTTCTATTCTATCAAGGTCATTATTGTTTACATTAAAATCTCCTATGCTCATAGCAACTTTTGAATTTTGATGTATGCTAGCCTTCATTACCTAAATTTAATTCATTTATTTTTAATATAATTTAATTTATTAATTAAAAAAAGCAACCAAAATCATTTTTTTCTATCTTCTCACTTCTTATTTAATATTTAAAATAATGTATGCTAATTTTTTATTATCTTTAAACAGATATAAAAATAATCTTAAAAACTATTAATAAAAGTTTTTGGTATTTAATAAATTAAAAAATAAATTTCTTGAAAAAAATTAATCCTATTCTAATGATATGTTTTAAATGATAAATAGAAATCATTTATTGACATAATAATATTGTTCAGTGAATGGTCGTTTGCTTTGTCATATATATTAGGGTCATGATTGTTAATATGATATAATGGATTTAAATAAAGGCAAAATTGAGTTTAAGCAATATTTTTAGGATGATTATTGCCTTTGATAGTTGAACAGTTGTTTAATTGCAAAAAGGTTTGAATAATTGTAAAAAAAGATATTTTAGCTTAATTAATAAAAATTATTGAATTGATTAATTTAGATTTATTTGATGTGTTTGATGGATGGCTATAAAAATTTGAAATATATATCATAAATTTTCATTTAATTTAAGGTCTTAAAATATTTAAGATAATAATTCTAATATTAATGATAAAAATATATCAATTTTTTATTAAGTTCTTTTTTCATCCTGAAGAATCAACTGATGTGGAACCAAAAACAAAATAATGAATTTAAGGACATTGACTTTTTAAAATCAAGATTAAGAGGAAAAATATTTAAATAAAGAGAAATAAAGAATTATAGTCTTATTTCGATTATAATACTTAATTCATTTCCTCATTAACTTCATCTATTTTGTCAACAATTAATTCTTTTTGAAAAATTAATTAGGAGCTTATTTTAGAGCGGGATTTTGCTTATGGCACATTGTTTGTATGATATCATAAGCTAATATAAAAAGAATACATTATAAATAATTTATTGCAATGTCTGAATTTTTAAGTTGTGTAATAACTATTCTCATAACTTATGTGTATGTATAGGCTTAATTGATTAATACATAATGCGGAAAATAGACTACTTCATAAACTGTCAGCTCAGGCATATAAATTGGAATTATTATTATTAGTTATTTATTAGTTTGTCCTTTGTGGTTCGTATAAGGATTAGTATTAAAGGCTGCAACATTTTTATTTATAGGATTAATGGGAAATTTGGCATCAATATATTGGACATTTTATGTCCTTTTATTAATGATGTTGGTATTTTTTAGATTATTTGAATATTATAAAAGAATAGATTTCTATACAATTTGCTAACAAACTTCAAATATACATGCATGCAAAAACATTTTTGATAAAACAATTCCTAATTCAATATTAATATTCACTGAGAATAATGATAATTTATAAGATTCTACTAAATTAGTGTAAAGAAATGAAGTTAATTTATAGTAATGAATTTGCAATTAAATATTTATAAGTGTCAGATGAAAATGAAATCATAAAAAAATTAAAAAGCATTTATATACAAAATGAATAAGAATCTATTTTGGATACATATAATTCATTCGTAAGTATTTATGATGTTTTATATTAAAAAATGGGATAATTTGAAGAACAATTCACTTAATAATTAAATACAAATTAAACTTCCATTCTTTAGAACGAATATGATATATCAAATTTAAGTGATTATTTTT